TGTATCAATATTTTACTCTGAACATATGTTAGATTTTTCTAAAAGCTTCCAGACCAAAATGGACCATAGTTGAAAAGTTGCCCATAATTTTTATAGACTAATTGGATTACTTAAAATAAATTGCAGATTAGATAAACATACATGATTATATGCAGGCCTATAACACCTGCTGTACTCCCTGCGTTTTATAATTTGTCTGATCAAGAGAAACCCATCTGTCCATCACCTGGTTAGGATTGGTAAGTGTGTGTTTTTACTCTGCTGCAGTGCTGCGCTGATCACCATTATCCATGCTACCCACATGCCTAACCATTTGCCGCCACAGCCACTGTTTATCCAGCCCACCAAGCACATGAGCAGCCATAATGACACTAATTGCCCAAGAGCTCACTTTTCCTCTGAGTGGCTGTGTGCTGCATTGTGCCTTAAGAGCCATCTGTGTTCCTGTCTTAAATCGATCTATCTTGCGCATTCCAAAACTACAAAAGGACAGGGAAAAGGCACCACTCCCATTCATAAATAATGTGCGTGGGGTACGGGGGATGTGGGCTACTGTTTCTTTGTGTGTCTGTTTGAGCAGGGAGTCGGACCTCTCCGGCCCACTGGAGGTCTGGGTGAGTGAAGCAGTTCATGACATCTGACCCCAGTGCTATCTAACTTCACTGGGTGGAGGTGAGGAAAACGCTGCCAACACTAACTGATATCTCACTGTGGAAGTGTTTCGATCCTACTTTTAACTTGTGGCCATTTTAATTTGCATTTATGTTTTTGTTTTGAGCCAGTTTAGTTTTTACCACCACATTACATGCAATACATGGTCTTAATTTAATAGAGAAAAGTGCAGGTGCTCAGTTATTATTCCCAAAACATAATGATTAGTTAAGAGATAAGCGTAAGAAGATAAATATAAATGTCAGTCACAAAGGCTAAGATATTTTTTAAGTTATTTAATAGAACTCCTATGCATTAGCTCCAGGGAAAATTAGTCAACATCCTTCTCCTGATTTGTGCTCGCTGATTATCTAATCTGCACCAGTCAATTATAATAGACTATGGAAACAGAAAATGAGTCAATTTTTGCATATTACAGGGAAAACAGATGAGTGAAGTAATTATAAGTTAGTGAACTTTGACAAATGTTAAAGTAATAGGTCCATATTTGGGGAAATGTGTTTATTTGCTTTCTCGCCTATATGGTTCAACGTATCCTCATACAACATAAAATCTAACGAAATAGCTCCCCATGAATGACATCACATACTTAATGTAAAGTTATGTATGTAAGGCTTAGACAAGTAAAGTTATTTAAGATGGTGACAACATACCTTAAAATAACTCATAGTTCACTTGGTTTTACATGGATCCAAACACAGGTCTCCTGAGGCAAAGTCCTGTGCTTTGTGACCCATCTACCACCTCATCCTGCCTCCTGATGTGGACTTCCACTGTGCGTTCCAATACCCATACTACCATACTTTATAGTATGCCAGAGATAGATTAAGTGCGTCCCAAGACATGACAATTGCAGCATGCCAAAAATACCATGATGTTCTGCTACAAGTCAGCATGCTATTCTGGATATTCTGACCCACAATCCTCTGCGCAGCATCCAAACAGATGACAGCTCATAGACAGCTGATTGACAGCTGTCAGAAGTTGCAATGATGGATGACAGCGCATTCAAATAAGTGATGACCAGTGGAATACTAATAATGGAAATATAGATTGTTTAAGTGAACAAAATAATCATAAATATCACAAACAACAATAAGACACAACTGTGAAAATGACAACAGAGGACCGCAGATGTAATTTTACTGTCACAAATATAAAATGTTCAAATCTACAGTCTGTGCAGTTCTAACTTTAAAGTTGAACTACATACATTGCAAAGTAACAGCAGCGCTCCAGGTGGATCTCTGTCTCTGGCGAACTCTGTAAGTGGCATTTATCTCTAGGGTAATGGATATAAAAGTAAGAGGGTCAGAGTTCAGTGCGTAATGTTATGAGACGGTAGTACTTTTTAAGGGCAGCTGCAGTACCTACTAAAAGTAAAAAGAAAAAGTATGTGATTTAGAACACACCCCCAGTCTCTGTACTACATCCTTCTTTACTTCCGTCAGTGCATTAGTCACGTGATCACCACCTTTAGTGGGTTATACTCAAAGTATTGGCTCATTATCATGTGGGTTACAAATTGTAGTGTATTACTTTTCATAGGTATACATACGAATAATGCCTGAGAACATCCTGCAGGGTTAGCTGAGGAAATCGATACCACACTCATGCTAGGGAGCAATTAGCTTAGCTTAGCATAAGGTCTAGAGGAAGGGGAAACTGCTATCTTGGGTATGTTCGAAGTTCAAAGATAAGCATAGCAACACCAATAAAGCTCAGAAATTACAACATTTGATTTTTGTTTAATCCCCATAGACACTAAAATTTGTTGTGGTTTTATGGGGAGTTACTTAGAGGAAATATTTCACAGCAAATGGCAGCCAGGTGAAGCTTCCTGGCTCGAGACAAGGAAACTATAAGATATATCATAAATATTACATATTTTCCTGGGCTCTAGCTCCATGGATTCAGTTCTCTCTGTTATCTTAAAAAGGCATATTTTTCAAAATGTCAAACTAGGCCTTCAAAAGGGAAAATTTCCAAAGAGTTCATAAACATTTCATCATTTTCAGTCTGCCGTCACTGACACATCTGTCTGTGTTATATATGATGTTCTGTCTATTTTAATAGTAGCAAAGTCAATCAGTTTTGTACAAGCTCCAATATGATCTACGTCAGGTTCATGTCACTCAGCTGAAAGTCGTATAGCCTGAAGTTATTTTGAATAAAGTTTCATTCAGTAGCTGGTTCAGACTCACTGGCTTCTCTTGCTCTTTGCGAAAGGTTAAAAAACAAAACAAGACAATCATTAACAAACAAGGATGAGCTGTCACATCTGACTCTGGCCACAGTCAGACATAGACCACAACACATTGCAAAACATGGCATTGCACGGCACTATCTTGTCATCTGTTTCAGAGAATGTAATCAAATCGTAGGTGGGTAATGGACCCTGCCATCCGCAGATGTGTTTTCCAGAAGAAAGGTGTTTTCAAAGAGGTGGAACTACCTTTGAATTGGCCTCTCTGTTATTTTAAGATTGCAGCGAGATGAGGGAAGCACAGTACCTCTTCATGCGGGAGGTTAATGTGTGTCTGTGCTCACTTGTCAGATGTAATTGAAGGGAACAGCTTATGAAAATGAGGTGGCAGGGATGAGGTCTTTAATTAGATCAAGATCATGGACAGAAATGAATTAGAATCACCACTCTCATTACCCACAGCAAAACTGGAGCAGCGCGACAGTGAATACATGAAGGAAAACTTTAATATCTCACAGACAGTGTTACTGTATCAGTGGGGTTTTAAAGGGATCATTGCTCTATTTTGTAGTAGTTCACTTTGACCAAAGCAGAATCTGTAAGGGTGTCTGTGCTTACAGGATTAATCTCTTTGTCGCTGTATCTGATGCCTCATTTCTCTCCATAAAGTCACTGGGTTCAATATGTGTGAATAACCTCATGCATGTTAAAAGCTCAATTTAGCCTAGATAGATGCTGAATAATGCACCATGGAACTTATGTGCCATCTAGTGGTGGGAGGCTGCTGCTTGAAAGAGCAAATAAAAGAATGGCAGGTGACAGAACTGTGATGGAAAACAATCCAGATATTTTGAATTTATATGTAAAAAAAAAGGAGGATAAATAACAAAAAACATATATAAATACACATATATGATTTTATATCGCAACATGTGTCCATGAACAGTCATAGCAAAGATGTCAGCTTGCTGCAAGAGAACAGGGACGACATCATTATCTCATTTCTGATCATTCTTTAAGATAAGGTAAAATAAAACTTTATTAATCCCAAGGGAAATTGCTGTGCAGTAGTTACACTACAAACTGGGAAGAGTGTGAATACAAAGGTCTAATTTAACAACAACAATATAGTGCAAATACAGTTTGAATGCAAAATATACTATTTCTTATATAAAATCCCCACAGGTTCATGGCAGATAATTTATTAATTTAATTTAATTATTTTAATTTTTCAGTAGTAGTCAGGTATTTTTTAAAACGAGTATCTTTAAAAATAAAAGAATAAAGAGTCTTTCAAGCTAAGTCATTGAATGTGTATATTTTGTTAAAATAACACTCACTTAAATATGGACCTTGATTTAAAAAAAAAACCAAAAAACATTATTAAACAATATCACAATAATAATAATAATAATAATAATATATTTTATTTATAGGCACCTTTCAAAACACTCAAGGACACCATACAAGACACAGTAAAAGAAAAAAACACACAAAACAAACAGCAATGTGTCTATAGATAATCAAAAATATGAATAATATCAATAATTCCGTAATATACAATAAATAAGTGTGTGACAAGTGTCTTCTACATTTCAAGAGGTTTTATTAATCATTAATGGTTGCATTTATTTATTTATTTTAACATTTTAAATTGTGGTTTAGTGATTTTTACTTCTTGTTGCCACTTTTATGTAAGTTTCTTTTTTCTTTTTTTTCTGTGTCTAAGAGTTTTATTTTATATTGTTTTATTCGGCTACATTGTAAATGACGTCTCTACTTCAATGCATTTCCGAGTTGAAATAAAGGTTGAATAAATGAAAAATTTTAATTTGAATCTCTCTAATTTTGTTAGAGATACAGAATTACAGACAAAGCCTTTCATATTTGTGAGTTTTGAAATGATTCCAATCTTAGTGAGATTTTCTTTTTAGAGGAAAAACATTGTTTTATATGTTTAAAATCATGTATTATATTTCGCCCTGAGGGCAGCCTCTCAGGATCCAACCCACCTCCACCTGATTGGTGGATCCTCGGTACACTTAGGTCTGCCTGTCAGCCTGAGCACAGGGCATATATTTACCCACGGCACGCGGAAGGACACAAACTGTACCGACTGGGACAAGTGGATCAGGCAGCGTCTTTTGCACGTGCTCCTGCCACCGCTAGAGAGACGTTGAGACTGATGCTCCGTAAACAGAAGAGGAGCCAAATTCACAGCAGTCGCAGAGACTAAACGTTGACGTCTTTGTTTTTAGCAGTCAGGTAAGTTTGTGTGGTGTCAAAGTCATTCACGGTGTGCTAGCTACGCAGTCAGTTAACAGTTTTATAACGCTGTCAAGTAGTTTGACGTTGTTGTTTTAATATTGTTCGCTAACTTACCTGCTAGCTAGCTTAAACTGTAGCGTTAGCTGTGTATGCCACGATGGCTGTTTATATTAACTTCACCTCGATTAAAAGGTTTAAAAAATAACATTTAATAATACTCAGGTTGCAAACCGTGTTATATTGAACCACTTCTTCCAGCACTTTGTTTAACAGCAGCTAAACTAGGTCAGACTGCTCCAGCTACTCCAGTCTGACAGCTTTTTGTTTTTTATTATACCGATGTATTCAAGTGCTGCTAGTTCAGACTTGACGTTATGTTGACAACACTGATGTGACGCAGGAAGCTCTCAGGTGCTCCTTCGTATCTGTGGCTGCTGTTTCCCGCCTTTTAATTTCATATCGTGCGGTTGACGGTTGAACACAGTGTTCCCCTCACAGTAATTATAAGTTGTGATCTGTTTTAGATCTACACATTGCGTCTGCACATTGCGTCTGCACATTATGTGATGTGTGTAGTTAACATGCGAGCACAATATGGGATCCAGATGTAAACAATTAGGGAAGTCCTTGCCTCCTTCAGCTATCAGATTGACTGTGTCTAATGTTTTCCATGCTGAAACAAGTTTTACAGGGCGTGTACAGGTCCTTAAGAAGTCTTAAAATATCTTAAATGCAATGTTACAACAATGAGGCATTCAAAGTCATTAGTCTTAAATTTGAATTTGTGAGATCTTAAACACTTAAAACATTTTATCTACTTTTATACATTTTAAATTTTGTTTCTGTGAAAATGAGTCCTGAAGTCCACATTTCTAATGTTACAAATCTTTAAAAACTACAATACTGTCATTTTCCTACCTGCTGGCAACATGTAAATTGACTTAACTCACTCTAATTACCATATTCCTACATAACACTTACCTCCACACAAGACCACACATACACTACTTGCCTGCAATAAAAAAGTAAAACACAATTTGTCCAAAAATCCGTCCTCAGTTTGGTTAAAATGTGTCTTGGAGGGGTCTTAAAAAGTAAAAGTTTAAAATTCAGGAATTAAGGGAGTAAAACAGACCACAGGTTTCAATTTTGATCCAGTGAGAAGCATAACAATAAATATTTCTAAATATGTGGTTGCATTACAGCTGTAAATATGACCAATTGAGACTTTTAATTTCAGTAATCTACTTAGGTAATGGAGCATCTCCACGTTATGTACTTGGGAGGTCCATTGTCTCTGTTGCATCAGCTCTCCATCTCACATGTGGTGGAACAGGTTAAGTTGGGCAAGTGCTTTGTAGTTTCATTTTCTTTGTGTGTGTGTGTGTGTGTGTTTTTTTTTTTTAAGTCTCACGTACCACTATGAAGTACATCCTGGTTACCGGTGGTGTCATATCTGGTATTGGTAAGGGCATCATTGCCAGCAGCATTGGAACAATCCTCAAGTCCTGCGGCCTTCGTGTCACAGCGATCAAAATCGACCCGTATATCAATATTGATGCTGGCACCTTTTCCCCTTATGAACATGGTGAGTAATTGAGTGCATTAAATAAGGTCGCTTATATTGTCTCTGGTGTATCATCTGCTGTTTATTATTGTGGTAAAATCCTGCCGTTAATATGTCAGGATGTGGTGTGGCAGCAGCTGACTTGCGTGGTGTCACCATGTGTTTTCGTACAATAGATAGTTATGTCAACACACAAAACATTGCATTTCCACCAGTTTTGGATCTGCTGTTTCTCTGACCCTATGACAAATGGATATTATATCTGTGTTGTGTTGTGCAGGGGAAGTTTTTGTTCTCGATGATGGCGGGGAGGTGGATCTAGACTTGGGAAACTATGAGCGTTTCCTTGACATCCGTCTCACCAAAGACAACAACCTCACCACTGGAAAGATCTACCAGTCAGTCATCAACAAGGAGAGGAGGGGAGACTACCTGGGCAAGACTGTACAGGGTGAGTGAGTACACCTTCTCCAAAACATGGAAGCTCCCCTCGACTGTTTAAATACTTCACCCCCACTTTTGGTGCCAGTACATGCAGCACACTTGTTTCCATTTGTATTTTCTACTGTGTTTATAGAACAGATAATGTGGCACGAGCTGTATTCGTCTTCATGTGCATGTTCACTAAGCACTGTTAATTGGTGTTATGTGACTTTTGTTTGTTTTCAGTGGTGCCCCACATCACAGATGCCATCCAGGAGTGGGTGATGAAACAGGCCAAGATCTCAGTCGATGAAGATGGTGTGGAGCCTCAAGTTTGTGTCATAGAGGTAAGTTTGTCTTGCACCTACTTGTCTCTGTTCTCATCAAAGAGGAATTTATGCTAATGAAGCTTGATTTTTGCACTAAATGCAATAAGACACTGAAAGCCCTCTTTGTCAAAAGTGGTATATATTTCAGCAGCTCCCATAGGCAGCTCTTAAGTGATTTGTTACCTGTTTTTTTTGGTGCGTTGAGTAGAAATGGAAGACGTTTTCGATCAGAAATGAAACCAAGCATGTTGCCTGAAGCAAATGAAAAATATTGGCACCATTCAGCAAGTGGAGAAATTGCTGAACTCACACAAATGGGTCCATTAGCGAAGCAGAAAAACAAACATTATTTTGAAAAACTACTAAATCAGGGGATTTGAAAATTGATTTGTTGAGGAGAGTCTGTAAAACTATCCCCCTCTGTTCGCCCTGCTCTCTCTGCAGCAGTGTACAAAACAAAGTGTTGTACTTTAAAAAAAATGTTTGACAACTTGTACTGCAAAAGTATATCATCTTTAGTACATTTGCAGCTGAACATGTCACATCCTCATAAGCAAAGTTAAATTATTACCCTGCCTCCAGCAGTACTTTTCGTATGGCATACATCAAAACCATCTCTGACAGTATTATGGGCACAATAAACCTGGTTACAGTCTGTACTTTTCAAGGGTGTGTCGTATTATATGAGGTGCTGAGATCAAACCTGTGTGTTCATGGGTGCAGTTCTGTGGTCTAAGCAGGTGTTTTGTGTCAACAGCTGGGAGGCACAGTGGGTGACATTGAGAGCATGCCTTTCATTGAGGCTTTCAGACAGTTCCAGTTCAAGGTGAAGAGGGAGAACTTCTGCAACATCCATGTCAGCCTGGTACCGCAGGTATGGCCTACTGGTGGACACACATTTCATGTATTCGTCACAGATATTGGGATCACTACATCTGCATTAACTTTTATTATTTGAATAGCGTGTAATACTTCTGTGCCAGGTTTGTTGAAGCCTGCCCTGATCAGACAGAGCTCCTATTTCCCCACCACGGCTTTGGAGCTCTGGCTCTGATTGAGGGTGAGAAGCTGCTCCCAAAAAGTATGTTAGTCACAGGGAAATTGAGATCAGTGTGGGTACATGAGACCCTCAGAAAGAGAAGAAATGACAGGGCGGACCACCATCTGGTCCAGGAGCTTTGCCTGGATGCTGTTCAGTTTGGTTATTCTAGGATGAGTTGCAGACAGTTTGAAAACCTGCAGTCAGTTGTCGGACCTAATTACAGTTTGTTAGAAATGTCTTGCAGCTTGCACACGGTGACATATGAAGTGACAGAATGTTACCTTCACACAGGCTAATACTTGCAACCACAGAATTGATTGGACAGTGGGGAAAAAATGTCAATGACATCAGGCCCTTTTTCAACGTGACACGTTCAGGGCCGTCCAGCAAAAATGCAAGGCGCATAAGGCAGAAAAAAGTGAGGCGCTCAGCAATTCAAAAGCAGCGAGCAAAATGCTTCACTTCATTGAAAACTACAAAAAGCGGCCCCAGGCTGCTAACACATTCTCTGCCTGACAGAGGCCTAAAGAGGCTATAGAGCAGTAAAAATCACCACTGGTTTATTTTTTAAACACATCTCTGCCACACTTTGAAGTGAATTTGCTTTTTTATTCTCAGCCCAGCAGCACTGGAGAGCAGAAAACCAAACCGACCCAGAACAGTGTCCGAGAGCTCAGAGGGCTGGGCCTGTCTCCAGATTTGGTGAGTCAGATTACAATTTGCTTTTAGAACTTGGCAATCAGACCCGTACCCCAGATATAAACAGGCCATGGCTCTGCTTTCACTGTACGTGTAGAAATCTATATCCACTAAATCTTGGTTATGTATCTATCTCATGGTGTACACAACCAAATAAAACCCGACCTTAAATAAACTGATGGTGTTTACTTAGGAACCTTTGAGACTATACCCTTGTCCTGTTGTATATCATAATAAAAAATAAACAACTTGATTCTTTTTAGATTATGTGCCGCTGTGCATCACCACTAGATACGGCTGTTAAGGAGAAGATCTCCATGTTTTGTCATGTGGAGCCCACACAGGTGAAGTAGACTGACTTGTTTTTCAATAGAATCTCTCTGTGAGCTCCATGTGCACAGCATGCTGCTCCCCAACATCTGCAGGTGTGGTGTGGTGTATTACTGTATTTGGTAATCTGAGAGATAAACAGTACATATAAAAGTATAACTGCTGCTTCACTGTATGCTAGTGCCAGTTAGGGATAAGTGATGATGTTCTCTGATGGTGTGTGAGTTTGTGGCACTGACTGCACACAAAACTCCAGCATGTGTTTTGAAAACTTAAAGCTTCCACTGTTTAAAATATTTAAAAATGAAATAAGTATCACAAAAGCCACCACAAATCAAAAACAGTATACTTAGGATTAGGCCTGTCACGACAATTACGTTATCGATTTTTATTTTTTATTTATTTTTATTTATTTATTTATTTATTTTTTGTACGGCATATGTATATGACCTCGCTCATTTTGCAGACCTTGATATTGCCCAATGTGTTTTTACATGCACGTTTGCATAAATAGTAATGTCACCAACATTTTAGCCAACATGATGTCAGAACAAACAGTACTTTATTCCCCACTATTTTAAGACTTGGGTTTAGCGGTTCTTCCTTTTTATTATCTCTCTACTTCCGCCTACTTGTGCAATTCCAAAGAAAAATAAAACAACACTTAAAAGAGGACACAGTCGATGCAGTGTGGCTTACCGGTAGCCTGCACATGCACCTTTGGAGTCGTAGAGGCACAGAGCGGGTAGTCGTTAGCTTGCCAACCCCTGGCAACAAGCCAGAAAGTCTGTCATTTGTAGTTTTCTCCTCCAACAATTTCATCCTCCACTCCATAAATCCATCCCTGGGAGCCGACTGCAGCACACCGACTGGATTATAGTGGTAAAATCGGAGTTCCTGGTGCTTAAACTGAGTCATTTTGAGCTGCTCCTGTAAAGGTGCTATTCATGTTATGTATACTTTTTTGTATATATTAACAGGTGTTATACAACAGTTAGTTCCGGCCCTGCAATCTGATTGGTCGAGAGACAGTAAAACCGTGATGATATTGGAGTACAACATCACGGTTATTTCACTGTGTATGTATCACTCCGCCTCACAGCTGACTGCAATCAACAATCAAATCAAAACTGACGGTTAGTGTCAGTTAGGTCAGCAGTTGCGTTGTAGGCTAATTAATTCATCCACTGTCAAACAGCCAAAAATATGGATTTATTTCCTAAAATAAGTTTTGAATTGAACTATGAATGGTCATCTGAGGAAGATGAGGGAGAGGAGAAGCTGAATCCATCTGAGCACACATCCAGGTTTCATCAGCGGAGCTCAATGACTTGGAGAAAAACAACATACTGTCAGATCAGAAGGCAGAGTCAGCTGTGCCTGTGAAGCCACAGTCCACCATGCAGTCACCAGAGACTTATTTCACCGGCTGCACAATTAATGGAAATGTGCAGATAAATGTGTATAAAGAGTAAGTGCCTGGCGCACCATGTCTGCGTTACATAGCAACAGTGACAGCAGAGTCCTGAGGGAACTATTTTTGTTGGTGGAAGACAAATAAAATGCTTGAATTATCTATTTTGTCCTCATTTTTAAACATTTCTTAATCAGCCTTGCTTATTTAACTGTTGAACTGTTGCCTGCGGCCTCGAGCCTACGACCGAATCACAGCCGTGACGATATCACAGTAGAACATCACTCCCTCTCGTGTGATATTGCTTAATTAATTACTTTTTAAAAAAATATGTTAAATATTTTTTCATATTCCATCGCCAATGTCTGAATATTCTTAAGAATTAAAAGTACATTGCTCTTTGAAAGGGTGCACTTGCAGTCCATTTAAAATGACAATCATGTCCTTTATCACAATTATTTCTAGGACGGTATAAAAACACAGTTGTCGTGACAGGCCTACTTTTTTGTGATCAGATATCTGGGGGAAATTACATTTAAGTTTATGTTAGCATTGCTCAGCCATTTTTATCAATGAAATAAACTGAAATAACATGTTTTGTGATTCTTCCAGGTGATCTGTGTCCAAGATGTTGCCTCAGTCTACAGAGTCCCTCTGCTGCTGGAGGACCAGGGTGTTGTGAACTTCTTCTGTCAGCGGCTAGACTTGCCCACTGCGACGAGGCCCAGGAAGATGCTGTCAAAGTGGAAGGAGATGGCTGACAGGTGAGGAGGATTGTCATAGCTGCTAACCTTTTCAAGGCTACCAAAGAGATAGACACAAATCGTTTACGTCACAGTTATGGAACAGTCAGTTTAATCACTCAGGCACTTCCTGGAATTAAAATGAAAAGAGTTGAACACTAAAAGACAAATGTTCCTCAGTCACTCAGGCACAGTGTTGAGGTAGCATTGCTGGACACGGAAATGTTCTTTGAGTGGCTGTAACGTTATGATTTAACGTTGCACCAGGTCAATACTGTAAATCATCTCCCTCTCTTCTCAGATCTGCCCGTCTCTTGGAGCGTGTCTCCATAGCACTGGTTGGGAAATACACTAAGTTAACTGACTCCTACACCTCCGTTATCAAGGCCCTTGAGCACTCAGCCCTCGCCATCAATCACAGATTAGAGGTTAAGGTATGACATTTCACATTTTTATCTTTTGTGTATTTATTTCTGGATTGTTTTTCAACCCTGCTTTGCTGTTTATGTGTTGACTGTTGTCACAGAAAACTGGCATAAAGCCTAACATTTGTCCATATTGACCATATTTAAAAAGTAGTCAGCCTGTTGGCCGTGATGTTGATATCCCTCCAGATGATGCTGTTTGTTGTTATTACAGTACATAGACTCTGCAGACCTGGAGACTACCACTCTGCAAGACGAGCCAGTGAAATATCATGAGGCCTGGCAAAAGCTCTGCAGCTCTGAGTGAGTAGATAAACTGTCAATAGGATGTTTCACACTCTGGTGACATGTGGTTATTATGTAGGCCACATGATGGCAGTGGAGTGCCGTCACGCTCAGTCATTTATGCGGCTTCATAAAATGGTCAATGACTTGTGCTTTGTGGAAATTCACAGTGTTTTATTGCATCTTCATGTAGCGATTATGTCTGCATTGCACTGGGGGGGGAAGTATATTTGTGAGACCAGCTTTTTTTTTTAAAGCCGGGGCCAGAAACAGGGTTTTGAAGGATTGTTTTTTGCCATGTAGTATCTCAAAGTTTTGCAAATACAAAAACAAAACAAAAGCATGTTAGATATCATCCTATATTATGAGCCATTAGTTTGCTATTGAAATAGTTCACCAGACTGATCTGCAGAAATTCATAACACTGTTATCAGTAATGTGTCTCTGTGTACAGGTGTTTATATTGTGTGATGTTTGTCTCAAAGATAATCTGGACTATTTATGAAATAAATTAAGTCTGTCACTCCTTCCTTCCTTCCTTCCTTCCACAGTGGTGTGTTGGTACCAGGAGGCTTTGGTGTGAGAGGGACAGAAGGCAAGATGCAGGCTATTAACTGGGCAAGGAAACAAAACAAGCCATTCCTGGGTAAGAGAGATTCAAACTACTTTCTTAAAAATTCTGCCTTCCCCTTCATTAGGGATGTAACGCTACACAAGTCACAGTTCGGTTCATATCTCTGTTTAAGAGTCGTGGTTTAGTGTGAGTTCAGTACAGCAGAGGAAAAAAAATGCCTGAGGATACGTTTCTTTTCATATATTTTTAATAGACAGTAGTTCAAGTGTCAAAGACAAAATCCTCTTGCTGGAGACTGATGTAACATTTTGCTCTCTTGCAACTTTGGTAAACTATACTCACTATAGAATAAGGAACATTTCAAACACTTATGTGGTAACACTGAACAAACACAGGTCCCTTTATGCTGTGAAATGGAAGTTGAACAATTGAAAATGGCAAAATACACATAATACTAAAAAGTAAAACTAAGGTGAAGTGTTTGAATTATTTCCTCTGTGACTGTATGTAAACATTCAGAGTACCTCAACATTTGGCATCCTGCATGTTTGATGTGTTTCCATCATATACGCACACAATGGCAGAGCAATACTGACACATCATCCACGTCTTACACACAACTCTTTCTCCATTGCTGTTGTAGCTGACCGGGTACTCGCAAACCGCTCTTCCAGTTCTTGCGTTTCATTTGCGCTACCCATAGTGTGACTGACTCACGCCAATCCAGTTGTTGTGCTAACCTGGGCATATGATGCTAACGCTGTACAGCTGAAAGTTTACAGGTGAAACTCACATTTTTGAACTTTGGTTTCAGATTATTTGCATCAGTTTACATGCCAGGTATTCTGTCTGCTCTGAACCTACAGCACTGTGCCAGTCGACACAGTGCTGACACAGGAACACAGCAAACCTGATGAAGAGCAGACTTAGAAAATGTTACCCCAACTTACCTCAAGAAATGAATAGCTACAGTGTCTCTAGGAAGTTATTTTCTGCCTTAGCCTGTTTTATTGTTTCACAACTGAAACCTTATTAAATTAATATTACCTATAAATATAAAACGTAATATAATTGATGGCATAAGTACTCCAACACTTTGCTTTGACACACTTGAATCATTAGCGGTACAGCCCACAGTATTTAGACGTTGCATGTTCAGTTTAGCGCACATCGCCTGTACGGCAGCGTCACGCTGTGTGGATGCTTCTGTGTAATAAGCCTGGGAAGGTTTGTGAAGGGCAAAATAAATACAGAGAAATCTTGAAGGAACAGCTGCCACAGTCTGCCAGAGAGCTGTGACTCAGGATGAAATGTTTTTTTTTCCCTGTAAAACATCAACTTAAAATATAAAGCCAAAGCTACACAGGATGAAAAGCATGTATTTGATGGCTACGTCAAAGCTGAGGACTCAAACCCATCGAGAAAGTGTGGCAAAACTTTAAAATTGCTGTACTATGAGGATCTCTGTGCAACCGCACATAGTTTGAGGAATCTTGTAATGACAAATGAGGACAGAAATGTTGTGTTCGGGTGTGTAAAGTTGTTACAGACCCACTGATTCAAAGTATTTCAAAGCAGAAATTGTTGCCCCATGTGAAAAATACAGACCTGAGCAGCATAAACACTTTTGCAATCAGTTTATTTGTGTGATATATTTGTACATTTCTCAAATCAATTTGTTCCACTTTGACATATACGAATTGTTTATCATAAAAAAAGCTTTAATTACAGCTGCTTGAACATACAAAGTTGTAAAATAATAAATGAAAAAGTCCCAGGTAGAGGTGAATACGTTTTATAGGTACTTTATAATCATATGCTTAAACAGTAGTGTTAGCCACATAAGTGCTTTGCACAGTGGGGATCTTGTTCAGTCTTACTTTATTTATGAGTCCTTACAATAACACTCATTATGCAAGAATCCTGCTGGTCTTGTTTTGTGCAGGAGTATGTTTGGGCATGCAGCTGGCAGTGTGTGAGTTTGCCCGCAATGTTCTCGGATGGGAGGGTGAGTAATTGCACCATTCAGCCGAGGCCACTGTTTAAAAACATTTATTTGATTCCTATTGTTTCTAGTTAAATGATGAAAGGACCGAAGACCTGATGAGAAGTTAGGGTGAGCTCAGATCAGTTTTGCTCATCTTTTTCAGATGCCAACTCCACAGAATTTAATCCAGAATCCAGTCACCCTGTGGTAGGTTATCTTTTTCTGCCGTGCTCCTATCATATCATATCAGCGGAGTCTCCAGCAGAATGGCGTTAACATCCTGTTTGATCTCGACAGGTGATTGATATGCCAGAGCACAACCCAGGACAGATGGGGGGAACTATGAGGTTGGGGAAGAGGCGGACCATTTTCAAATCCAACACCAGTGTACTGAGTATGTATGCTCCCTGAATTAAAGGTGGACTGTCTGCTTATTGGTCTTTAGAGTGACTGTGTTTCTGATGACTGATATTTCATTGTTCAAGGGAAACTGTACGGACATGTGGAATATGTTGACGAGAGGCACAGACACAGGTTTGAGGTAAAACAAGGCTTTTTGATTGGGAGTGCATAACAAACACATACAGTACAGCAGTGGTACTCAACTTAAAGAGAAACATAGTGTTCTTTTTTTTTAACCTGGTCCCATTTGCCATGTTTTAGTTTCTAAGTGACTAATGGAGTGAAATGGTTTTTGGTCCAGTACTGAGAGAGTCACTGCTGAAAAAGGTTGCAGCTGCAATTGTGCACTGTCAATTTACGTCCATTAAAATAGCTTGTTTTTGCAACAGACAGGCTCAGATTGTTACTCTTAAGTGTCTGCCAACATTATGGAAAAGGCCTGTCAAGGAAATGAAGCATTTTCTTTACCTTTCGCTGATCAGTTCCGTTTGTTGTGATCACTCAGAAGAAGAGAAGTCTCTTTCTGGCTTTGTCACAATAACAAACAGACCGGAGGAAGCAAAAGGTAAAGTAGGGTCTGTAGGGTCCTTTCTGTAATGTTATCAGACACTTAAAATAACAATCAGAGCCTGCCGGTGGCAAAACCTAGCACTTGTAGCGATTAAATTGCACCTTGCAGCTGCAGCAGTCTCTTTCTATACTGGACCAGTTTCAAACAGTGCTGTCTCCATTAGTCACTACGACACAAAAACATGAAGGCATAAGGGTGCCAGGTGGCCAACCCACCATTTTCTAATTCACAATGACAATAAATTGATTCGCACTGGGATTTTCTTTGTACATTTAACGTAAATAAGGTACATAAAAAGCATCAAAAGGGGTTCAAGCTAAGCCCTGAATATCCTCAAATCTTAGAAACGCCCCTGCATACAGCTGACCTGTGCAGGGCTGCTGCAACAGAATTTGCTTCTTGGCAAAGATGAGTGAGGACAGCAAAGGCTGAAAGGTTGAAAGCAGACAGTTCATGTTTAATATAAACTGATAAATACTATTCATTTTTGTTTATTAACTGGCCCCTGCTGTACAGTATCTTATTCTGCCTGTACACTTTGCAGAGACTTGAGGACATTTAGTGTTTATAAAATAACCTCAAAAACCTTTACTGAATCCATGAGTCATTGCTTATTGTAGGTGAACCCTGAGCTGATACACTACTTTGAAAAAAAGGGCCTTCAGTTTGTCGGCCAGGATGTGGAAGGAGAGCGAATGGAAGTCATTGAATTGGAGGGTGAGTGGAAAGTGTTATTGAAAACAAGCATTCATGTGCTGTTGCTGCTAATGATTGTAACATGCCGTATATCTCCTAAAAGTTTTCACCTGGCTGATCCTTATGATGCACTCTTACCAACCTGCAACATGCTTTGCTTCAAATGCCATACAGTACGTGCCATGTCATGCGTTAACTGTGGTGTATGTAGTGGAGGTTAGTATGTCTGCGCTAATCCACCTGCTTTTGTTGTTTTAGATCATTGTTACTTTGTTGGAGTGCAGTACCATCCAGAGTTCACCTCGAGGCCCATCAAACCTTCTCCTCCATACTTGGGTCTCCTGTTGGCTGCTGTTGGAAAACTCCAGGGCTACCTGTCCAAGGGCTGTCGCCTCTCTCCACGGTAAGCTCCGACACAGCCAGTGGCATCAAATCACATTTAAAAGCATTCATGTTCATATTTAATCTGTGAACTGACATTAATGCTGACTGATTAAAAACATTTACATTTGATTGGGACTTTATGTACACGTGGCCAACCTTAGCTGTCGTGTATATAGTAAAGACATTTTTGTTTTTATTAAACCCTTTACACTACAAATTGTTTGACATTTTTATGCATCACTGAATTAACCCAAATGTAGTTGAGTTGTGAACCTGAATGGAAATTTACAAGCACATTTTTATTCAGTGTCATAATCTACTCTCTTACAGTCAGTTTACAGTGACACTATGTCATCATTCCACATGCAGTCACAATAAAGCAACCCCTATAAGGCAGCACTGCTATAACGCTCATTTTATGTATTCATCTTTCATTGCAGGGACACTTACAGCGACCGCAGCGGCAGCAGCTCTCCTGAGACGGACATCTGCGAGCTGAGGTTCCCCTCTTTGTCCCCAGAATAAAGCACATGTAGTTGTTGTGGTTGTGTAACACTCTTGCAGATCAATGCAAGGCCCAGAAAAAAAAACTGGTCCGTAAAATCGTTTTTACAACACTGATAGGTACAATGTCTTGTTACAGTAATTTATACTGTAGTGAATATATTATGTTTATAGGTAACGGGATGTCTTGCTGTTAACGCTGGGGGGGTGAAGAGTTGCTGGAATAAGCAGAAGCTGGGATGAAGTGTGTGTGGGGAATTTTGCAGAATTTTTTGTAGGAATGAAAAAAGAGTGGGGTGAGGAATGAATGGTAAAATATCGTATCATCATCATCATATATTTGTGAGGAGATGGATGGTTTGGAGTCAGGGTCTGTGCAGTCGGTTTTCTTTTTGAGGCGGCCGTCCTGTAAATCAATCCAATCCAGTGTATGCAAACATTATGATTTCGTACAGTTTGCGTCTTGTATTGCCAAAATTTGCCCATGTATCATGACAAACACATCCAGTGGTCTTTTACTGGCTGTTTACAGTATACCCTCCTATCAGCCAAAAAGCTATGATATAGGAATATGTAGGAGAGTATGTTCACTCCCTTCATGGTAACCTACCCATCTTCCTCGAAATACACTCACCTCATCAGTTACCACTACAAAACTGGACACATCATTGATGGATTTACCTATTTGACTTATCTGTTAGTGTTTTTTTTATAGTTTTATGTGTTTCTGCTTTTAGGTTTAATACTGTCTTACATATCTTAACTGTCATTCAGGGTTACTACAGAAAAGTGAGTAAGCTACATGCCACTCTGGTTTCAAATAATCTTGTACTGTATTACATGGGGTGTGCATGCAAATCTGTACGAGTCTGAGATTAAACTGGACCACAATGGGGGTGCTTTGTGCTTTGGTAACTGTGGGATATATGTATATATATACACACATATATGATGTTATTTGTTATAGGGTAAATTGCTCAGGCATTAGCCGATTTCACAAGGACAATCGTTTTTAATTTTCTCATGAAAGCCGTAATGGTTGTGCACTTTGGGGTGTTACTACTTTAAAGTTGTTATGCCTTAAACCTGAACTCACCAGTTCTGCTTGCATGGCTTTTATGTTTGAGACCGGTTTGCCTGCTGACATCAGCAAACATGGTTATGAACCGCATTGCCCTTTGCTGCGCTATCTGTACCAGAACTTCCTAAAATGAGTTATATACTCATGCACAGTCATCTGACAATCCGGCCACCTTAATGTGACCCTTGAGTCAACAGTATTAAGTGAAAAATAAGCCTGTCATATAAAACTGATGACTTAAAACTAAAAAAAAAACCTAAATATTTGATCTCCAAACATCAGTAGCAGCCAAGTGTAAATAAGCGTCAAGCCTCCAAGTTGCATTTTCACTTGGAGTCTTGACAAATTTAGTGGACCACGATAGTTAAATCATTGCTGCCAGTGCCTTTTATTTATCTGGTGACCCAGATGTACGAAAAACATGCTGTATTTTTATATTTATGAAGTTTGGATGCATGTGTGATGCATAATGGATGTTTATTCTGAATAAATATGCTTTTATTCCTCTTGATAATCTGGCCTTTGTTCTAGTGGAGCTGAGGATGATGGCAACTTCTGCTTTTTACCAACGACTGAGACACATGTTTTTTTAGGCAAAACCATAAAAGACATTTATTGATACTTGCACACATGAGAGACTGAAAGGCTTTGTCTTCACTGATGGCACTATTCCCAGTGTTGTTTGGTGTTGAGAGCACACTGGTGTATTTATTTATATACATAACTAAATGCTGCTGTAGCATTCCCTAGAGGCTGTCCTACTCATTACACCCAGCAATATGAAAAGGTTACTGAAATTATGTAAACAAACCCAAAATATGAGAAGGTTAGTCAAATTATGTAAGCAAACATTTGGAAGACCAGTCTGCAGGATTTAGGCCATATTGGCAGAAATGGAATATTTACCAGCCAGGACGATGTTGTGATGACTGGTATTCTTTTCACCTTGCAAGTCTGTGTGTGTCATGAGGAAATGTGGTCCTGGTGCCACCTACTGTAGAGGCATCTACCATAGTCATTTTGAGTATTATGCCAGGTGTTGGTCCCTCTGTGGACAGATTTTGTCGATGTGATAATGTCACAACTTTGCAAAATAGAGTCACAAAACCTTAAGCTTGGCCTTCATTTTGATCTCAGCTACACAACTATAAAGATAGGCATGGTCTGAGCAAGGAGGCCAGAAGTAGGGGGATAGGATGTAGTGAAGTGGCCACTGGCCACCCACTTTATGTCCCTGGCTCACAAAACTTAACAGATGTGTAGTTTGAGGATGGGTGCCAGAAGCAGAGAAGGGGCCATCGACCCCCCACTTTACCTTGGCTGACATTTGCTTTAAATCGTGGATCGCTGTATGGCAGCTGGAGTGATCTCATGGCAAGATTGGCTCTGGTCATAGCTATGTTTTAATTTGTGTGTAATCACCTAAAATGTAGAGTTGTGTTTTTGTCACCTTGTGTCAAATGCTAGAGCAACGGCGTTGCGGCGCACGCACATTTCTGGGCACCTATTTTTCAGGGTGCGACAGCTGGGCCTTGAGATAAACAGAGTTCGGCTTTTGGAGCGCAGCAGCACACACCGCGTGTCATAACAAGGAACAGCCAATCACAGCCGAAAGCTATCTGTCCCTTCTTCTGTAAATATGGAGAAGTTGATCATTTGTTGTCTGTTCGACGGACAGTATTTTTGGCCTGATACACACTTACCAAATAACGCTTGAAAGAAGATCAGCTCTGCACTCAGGATGTCATGTAAGTAGGCTATGGTACAGACTTGGTGCTGGTTATGGTTGCTTAGCAACCTCAGATGCAACCTGCTTCTGCACCCTTGAAAGCTGGCACAGAGTAGGCACAAGAGTATCGCCCAGTGCCTGACCTCGCGTTTTCCAGACGGTTAAGGACATGTCGTGTACAACTCCATAGAATGAGAGGTTTAAATCCACACATGGAACGGGTCCTCCTCTATGGACGCTGCACCATGTTGTTCTACAGTATCCCAGAACGGACAAACCAAACACGGCCTAGTTGGGGCCATTCGCGTTTTTGCATCGACCACTGTAGTTCTCCTAGACGCTTGGCACATTGGAGAAGTTTCAGTTGGCTGCAATCTGCAACCTCACCACTAGTTACCACTAAATCCTTGACACTAGACCTTTAACAGACCTAGAACATGATTACTTATAGCATGCTAATAGTAGTTTAATTACTGTCCAGTGATGATCATGTTTGAAAAGCTTAATTTGGTAGTGATGTTTATTTTTGGTTCTCTGTTTGCATTCTGACCACATTAAGCCTTCAATGACTGACACCTATGTTCAACACTGAAATAACCACAATGACTACATTAAAGTAGACATGTAAACGTGACTAAAAATAACATTAAACTTCCGACAAACCTATTGTTAGAAAAAATAATTACATATCCTGAGCCTTTCCTAATGTTTCCCCAGGGAAGATAAAGCTACATTGTTACCAACTTCCCCTTTTTGGTGGCAGTGTTCACTCCACAGACAGGATCATAAAGTGATAAGAGTTGTTGCTAACAGTTGCCCATGCTCACCCACACTGTCTATGATTATTAAAGATGACATGTAGTTATGAGAGGGTGACAGTGGGAAACTACAAGCTTTGCCTTGATATGCATTCACTACTTCCTTATCAAACTGCCTTTACTCCCACATCTGGCCCTCCCATTCCACAACAGCCCTCCCTGTGTCCTTGTGCTGCCCCGCCTTTTGTCAAGTATCAACAGGCAAACTTTCAAGTCCACACCTCTCATTCACATGCGACAGTGCCAGTTAAGATCAGCAACTCAGCTGAGAGCTGCAGCTCCACCGGGATCTACTTTTGTGGGACAGATTCCTCCACATACCAGCTTTTGAAGAGATTTTGATCAACCACCATGGGAATGAGACTGAGAGACTTGTGCTGCGGCCCTCAACTGCACAGCAGTCTGGGATGACTGTCAAACACAGCCTGCTTGACTGATTTGTGGGATTTATAAGGAGTGGCTGCTGCGGCTGTTTCACAACATTTGGAGCGTCAAAGCTAGGGAAGCAGCTTGTTGGAAGCTGATGTGGGATTGCTAGTCCCTTACAGGTTTCAACTCTTTTTTTAAACCTCTTTCTCCAACCCCCTTGGAACCATCTCGGCTACTCAATATATTCCTCCTCAATCATTCCTAACCTTACTTACAGCCTTGTTTATAATTCCTGCAGTGCATTTTCTTTCACTTTCCCACAACTTCCATACACCTTTGCATCCCCACAAGCTGTATTCATCGTCATCCCTTTTTGTTTTTCCCACTACCAGCGACAATGGACCTGACTTTGTGGCAGTACCAGTTCAGGATCATCATGCTGGGGGACTCCACAGTGGGCAAGTCCTCCTTGCTGAAGCGCTACACTGAAGACTTGTTCCTGGAGTCCATCAACCAGACGGTGGGTGTAGACTTCTACGTTCACTTCCTGGAGGTGGAGCCAGATGTCCGCGTCAAGCTGCAGTTCTGGGACACAGCTGGCCAAGAGAGGTTCAGGTGAGGATGCACCAGGCCTTGCAGCACAACGACACCAAGACAGTAAAACAAATAATTCGAATGATAAATATTCAAGGAATGACTCATGTGTATGTGAATGCGCTATCTAAATAAACTATCACTGGTTATTCCATTCGCGCCAGAGCTGTTCATCAGTGTTTGCTCTCAGCTATCACTGTGTATCCACCCTGTCACCCTCACAAGATCGGTGTGCAGTGTGTACAGAGATTCAGTGTGTGTACTGCTTAAAGTGGAAGAGGCAGATCTTTGAAAAGGAATTATTCTTAGTGCTCAGCATATTTATTGAAAAAAGAAAAACTCAGAGTAACATGTTTCTTTCTGTCTCTAAATTCATTAAATCATTTCTCCAGTTGAATGAACCATAACAAATTGCAAACTGTGCCTGTTTGTGTTTACCTCCTCTCTGCATGGTATCTGTAGCCTGCTTAATCCCACATGAGTCAGCTAAAACTCAGCCAAATCCGGTTTGTTTTCATAAAGAGGTAATGAAGAAGTAAGTTTTCACCATCTGGCTGCTGGGAGGACCGTTTACCAAGCCTTTCCTTTGGTTTTAACAGTCGGTGACTCACAGGGGAACCGTATGCCTCTTGACAGTTTCATGATTAGGGTGATAAAAACACAGTGGCTATCAATTTCTTACAAAGGAACAGACTCTCTGTCAGTCTGCTTATCTAAAAAAAAATTTCAGCTCAAACAGTGCAGAGAATCAGCTGATTATTTGCTCACTTGAACAGGAAATACGACAAAGTCTGAACTCTGCACAACCCCAGCGAGGGCTTTGGTGGTTTTCATGTGCTGGAATTCAAACCTTTTCTCTTTCTCTCTGTTTTCCCTGTGTGTCTCTCTTCTCTCCTCAGGTCAGTGACCCGTTCTTATTACCGCAACTCTGTCGGAGGCCTGCTGGTGTTTGACATGACCAACCAAGCCTCCTTTGACCATATTAAGGAGTGGCATGCTGAGGTGTGCGAGCGAGTGATGCCGCATAAGGTTCTGTTCGTCCTGGTGGGCCAGAAGAGCGACCGAGATGCCGAGGGGGAAAGAGTGGTGAGTCGGGAAGAGGCTGAGAAACTGGCCGGGCAGCTGGGGATGCCCTATGTGGAAGTCTCCGCCAAGACGGGTCAGAATGTGAAGGACGCCTTCGAGCTGCTCACTCGTCGGATCTACCAGGGTCTGCTGAGCGGAGAGGTAGAGCTGCAAGAGGGTTGGGATGGAGTCAAGTGCACGGCACCACAGGCGCTGCAGTTACAGAGAGCCAGCCAGGCACAGCCTGGCACCAAGAACAACAAGAAGTGTTGTGCTTAAACCTCGGACTGGTGGTGGTCACCCACATGCACTCAAGTTACTGTCAAAACAGAACCAGCCCCTGGAGAGTTGGATTTGTGGTGGAAGTTTACTGTTATGAAAACCACTTTTTTGCACCTATGATAGTGGTTAAAACAAATTGTTACGCCTTTGTAGGTACAAGACACTGACAAGATTTAACTTCCGAAACTTATATATTTAGCTATGATGGCGGCGTGACAATGTTGGCCCACCACTTCAATCTGAAATATCTCTAAAACCTAAATACTATAAGATGGACTGCAGTGACATTTTGCAGAGACATTCACGGCCCTCGAGGATTATTTCCTGCTGACTTTGGTGATCCCCCGGCTTTTCATCTTGCACCACCAGCAGGTTGACATTTTTGGTGAAATGTCTTGACAGCTATTCGATGGATTGCTGTGAAATTTGCTGCAGGTGTTCAAGATCACTTTGCTTTTCATTTAGCGCCATTATTAGGTCAAAATTTCGGTTTGTCCAATTCTGTGGTTCGTGAATACTAAAGATGTTCAAATCTGCCACAGCTGTACTTTGTGACAAATGTTGGTGGGTGGAAATCACCAGAGGCCCTACGATACAATATTATCATGATACTTAGGTCACGATACAATTTTATTGCGATTCTAAAAATGTTGAAGTATTGGGATAACATAGTGAGATATATTGTGATTCAAAGGAAAAACTTTGAAGTTTTCAGTCAGTTCATCTCTCTTCATTTTCATTGCAGCAAACTGTATCTAGTGGACTGAAAAAGGAATTGATTTTCTTATTCTAGTAGACTACTAAAAGTTCAATTTGTATTTAGAATATTTATTATTTATGTGATTAAAAAAAATAGATACATGGCGCCTGTGTATTGATAAAATATTGATACACGATACTATGCTGTATCCATTTCCCCCACCCCTAACAGGTCAAACTAAGATATAAATAAGACGGTAAAGTATCCACATCTAGTTTAAATTGTGCCATAGTCACAAATCTGCTACCATAATTCTAAACTGTTAGTGTTGTTTTATTGCAGTATGTATATCTTTTCATATTTATGGGACTTTACTCTGTGCCTGTGTGGGATTCAAGGCCCACAGCTGATCAGACTAACGTGGACTGATGAGGTCATTGCTTACCTCAGTTCAGAGGGGCAGGGGTTGTAATGATGACATATTGAGCCAAAGCTGTTGGCTCAAGATGAGACTACTTTGCCATTGCGTTCAATCTACAAGGATGGGATACGACTCATCTTCTCTCCTATTGGTTTTTGTACCTCAAGACCTGAACAGTGGTCGCCAAACTTGGGGTCCTGATGCCCCAAGAGGTCTTCGGATATATCTGAGTGGTTGCGTGATGGTTAAGGAGGAACTGCTCACTGCTCATTTCCACACCAAAGGTCATAACTTGTAATAAGGGGCTTTAAGTAGGCATTTGTTTATTTTGAGGGGTCACAAAAAGGATGGGAACGATTGTACTACAAGGACATTCTTTTTCCTGTGCACCTAAATCTATGATTTGTGTCCATGTTTCTCGTTCTGTGAATGATTGGCAGAAGTTAAGGGTGCCCTGGGTGAGATTAGAAACGTTCCCCCGTGACTCCGTGAATTAATGTTTCGGGCCTGAGTGGTCGTCTGGAAAAAGGCTTTTGTTGCATCACTAATAATTGCACAGCATGCTGAAAGTGAGTGATTGTTTTCAGGTGCTGTTGTTGAAATTAATTAAATGAAACAACTCTAGGGTGCCTTTGGATATTGTTCTTTTGAAATGTTGTGAGTGGTTTCCATAGCAATTACTGTCCATCTGTCTGATGGACGGTCTCCTATGTTTCTGCGAGCAGAAGGCAGACTATTTATTTTGTTGATGAAAGACCCCCCAGATGATCCCTGATGGGTTCAAGTGTTGTCCGTACACCAGTTTGTGACCTTGGTTTTCTGAAAATATACAGAAGGTGACTAGATTTCACAATAAAAAAAAAACCTTTTTACGTGTGTCGAATCCTTGGCTGACTCTAAGTTCAGTGGCGACAGATGCCATACACTAAAATGTGTCCTCTTTGAAAACACAAAGCAGTCATTTATTAACTTTTTAATCTGCCATTGTGAAAAATCAACATCTGGGCAGCATTTCTTCTATTGTTTAGATGCATTTTGCTGAAATATACAAAAGTAAAAATTAAAAATGACAAGGATGGCTGAAATAAATGTGTTAATATAATAAAACCTATTATAATCAGTAACAGTACACAACAGCACATAAATGTCTAACAGAAGCAAAGCATTTACTGTGTTTGTAGCCAACACTTGCGGTAGGAATTTATTATTATAGACCTTCTATTTATTAAAAAAAAAAAAAAAAAAATCTAATCAACAGCACTGTTTGAGCGGGTAAACAAGGGAGCTATCATCTCCTTCACACTCCACAGTTATTATCTATTATTGCCGAGCTAACATCAAACATGATTTTTAGCATTCACATCCAAATGCTTTAGAGTATCAAAAGGCAAACCGGATACAGCAGTGGTCATCATCCAACGTAAGTATTCCAGTAAATGTTTATTGACAAAAATTCACTGAACAGAGTTTTGCCAGGCTTAGCTTAATGGCAACAAAACAGAACCAGAGACAAGAATTACAATATTGTGTGAGTGCTGGCAAAACCCTCAAAAGTTAGGGAGACATGACAATGAAACACTAATGTCTAATGAAAAAACAAAACATCTAAACCATCTCTTTTTGCCTCATTAGTCCCAAAAATCTCAAATGAAAAAAACAAAAAACAAAAAACAGAACAGACAATACACAGAGTGGGAACATGTTGGTACAGTCTTGCTACTTTTTGGTTGTCTTGCGGATCAGCGCCATTCTCTGAAATGAAAAAAAGATTTATCAACAGTTGTCAAGTTTCAATACATGTACCTTTTATATACTGAAATATTGTACTGTGTCCGACAGAAACAGTTGCGTACCTGTTTGTGAGCCTCTGTGGTGCAGGCCTTCTTAAACGGCCGGATCTCATCTGACCCATACCCAGGGATCCACATGTTCCACTGGCGCTCTGAGAAAAGCAACGCAAAGTGTGAGCAGGGTGCAGGCTGTCAGCACAGTGTCTACACTAGGATTAATGCCTCGACATTGTGTGCCTCCGCAAACCAGTCGAGTTGCAGTTACATACATGTTTGTCCGGACTCATATGTAAACATGACAAGAGAAAATGCAGAACAAGAACTCCCCTTCTGTTCTTCAGAGTTATGGTGTTTGAAAATGTCCAGAAAAGTGTTTCAGCAGACATTTGACCTCTTGGATATAAAATGTCATCAGTTATGTTTTCCTGTTAGACATTTGTGTCAGATTTTGTCATAATTAGTGTGTGAATTCTTGAGTAATGGCCAACAATGTGTTTTGTGAGGTCACAGTGACCTTTGACCATCAAAATCTTGATGGTTATCTATGGGTCCTTGTTGACATTTATGCCAGATCTATGAAATTCCTTCAAGGTGTTCTTGAGATAGCGTGTTCAAGAGAATGGGACGGGCAACCCAAAAACCTAATGCCTCCAGCCACAGCTGTCGCCAATGCATACAAATTGTTTTCAGGGCTATAATACAAATAATTTCAACACAGCAATGCAGAGATGACAGTTTACCTGCCAGTGATTGGGCTGCTATGTTACCATAAAACTGCAAATGTCTCAGGAGCTCTTGCATTTTCTGACTCTGACTGTTTGCAGTCGCTCAAGAAAATGAGCGCAAATTACTTTCACTCAAGACCACACATTTTTTTGATGTCAATTTCAAAGAGCTTTGTTTCTGTGTTTTCTCTTCAGATCACGAATCCATGAAGACGTCCCTTTGAGATGCCAACTGTTAGAAGTTTTTGTAAAATTCCAAAACAATAAATCTGCTCCCTTCAATTATAACAAATGTAACTGTCAGATTTGAACATAAATTTCAGATTATGGCTAAAAAATAATGATATCACTTTGAATTGAGAAATGATTCCTGTCTTACATTGACATGATATACTGGGACATCATTCTGATGTTGAAAGCAATTATCCCACAGTGATTACAGGCTGACCGCCATATCATAGATACTTTAAATGTTTTTCCCATGACCTACAGAGACATACTAAATCCACCCTTCTGAAAATATTAGGTGTCACAGCCCCGCAGAAAAGCCATCAGCAACTTACCAAGATGTAATTGAACATCCTTCACCTCCAAGGTGTTGGACTTGCGATGGCGAGCCAGTTGACAGGCTGCTGTCACTACACTCTCTATAAAGTCATCTGCAATTTGTAGCAGCATCTGAGAAGAGACGGGCGTTTCGAAAACCATTAATCATGCTCAGTAAAGGAAAGCAACATTGCACAACTGCTAGACAAATCTCTCATATTCTCAGCTGCTCACACCATTATTCATGCAGCCAGGCTTTCAACAGAATAAGATTTCCAAATGATGGATGTGGCAGTGCTAGGTTAGGAAGCTATAGAGCAACGAGTATCTGTGAGATGCAAGTGGTATTCATTTCACACCGAAGAATGTGAGTGCAGAATGAATTTGAAATTTTAATTAAAACCACTGACAGACCTCTTCAACATCCTCATCCAGCTGCTCATTCGGATCGATCTCTCTCACCAGGTCCTGCAGCTTCTTCTTACTGAGCACCTGGAGAGAAAACAAATGTATTCGTTCTCATAAATACATAAGACAACAGCTGTGCTGATGTGTCCTTTCTACAGTCGTCTAATGATATAAAGTCAAGACCCACAAAATGATTTACAGGGCTAAAACATGAGTTTGGCACTGAAATTTATAAATATGATGATATCTTGAGGCCAATGGAAAAATATCTTTATGCAAACACAATACAGTTCCAAAAAAGATCAATAACAATGAATATTTTGCCTTTCTAAACATTTGAGAGGAGAAATAAATACAGCAACTTCACAGTGGGACTGTCCCACACACAGGTAGCTCTGACATTGAGGATAATTATTCTTACCAAAGAAATAATGGTGACTTTATAAGAGACTGTAATTAGTAAAGAGTTTGTCTGGTAGAAAACTGCACAAGTTGGGTTATGATCAAAACTATGCAATGTATCAATATGCACATTAAGTATGGAACTGTACTAGAGTAGTGATTTCAGCAACCCAACCCACCAGTCCTTAGATATGGTGAATAAAAACACTGACTGACCTGAGATCCCTCTGGACTACTTCTGCCAGCAGGGCCAGGGGTCCCAACCTTCACTGCTGTTGCGGTGCTGTTAGCCATGCTGGTGGCCACAGGAAAGCTGGAGGGACTCAGGAGTTTTTAAGGGGGGCAAAGCTGTTGTGTGTCTGTGCCGTTGTGTGTCAGAGTCCTGTGTGACTGTCCAAGATGGGCACAAATGGGATAGATTACCTTTTACAATGACCACCTCCGTAAATCTGGGGAGAATAGGAAGTACACAGGTTAGTGTCAAGGAAGCAATAGGCTGATAAACAAGCTTAAAGTTGCTTACAGACTTTTTAACTGTTGTTTTATCCTGATCAATATATGATCTGCTCACTTGGTTTATTTTAACTCACTCATATTTCATTTAATATAGTTCTATTCCATTTTCTGCTTTTGCCTCCCGATTTTATTTCATCGCAGTGTTGATGTTTTAATCTTTAACCAAGTAACTTTGAACGGTGCAGTGTAAATAATGACTGCTGTTATTGCCATTAGCTACAAGACCAATGCAGAAACTTAGCCGTGGAGCAACGCTATGTGATCTACAGAAAATATTAACCGAGTTAGCAAAGTAACAGCACATTCATAAAATAATAAGACCACACAGGTAGCCTATGAGCAGATGTGCAGCTTTAACGAATAAAGCAAACGTGTATAATACCGACGCTAACACAACGTTACGTGCTAAAAACAATAGCAGCTATCAAGATTTGAATTTAGCTTGACAGGCTAACATTAGCAGCTAATCTAGCGGCGCGGCTTTCCGCACGCTACATCCTAAAATTACGCGTTAACTTGACGACTTACCCAATAAAACAAACACTATCTGTCCATGTTTCGGCGTCGCTGCGACGACAATGGGTGAGTTTGACACACAAAAGCTGCCTCAAATTGCGTCGGCGAAGCTAGAAAAATGAGCGAGGTTATCTTTCACTACTTCCGCTTTGTTCGGGTCTATTTCCTGTGGCAACATAGCGCCTCTACTCTGCCACCTGCTGGATATTTAGCGGAACTACATCAGGATTCAACAAAGAACACCATGGATTCAATACACAGAGGGCTACTGCATTGCTAACAATAATAAAGATAATCAAAATAGATATGTAAGAAATAATAGCACTAATAACAATAATAGTAATAATTATAACGACAACAAATATATGACAAATAATAACATTAAAACGTGTTCATAAAGCCAAGACTAATTAAAGAAGTAATAGCATTTTTTTCCTGGTTACTAATCACAATTATACAGTCTTTGATCACATTGCAACAAAAACTTTTTTTTTTAAAAAAAAAAAAATACTATTTGGAATGACAATTAACAAATCATGCTCAGGAAGACATCTTACAGCCATCCAGGTCAAGTCAACTCATAGGACAAGCCTAAACTCAATGTGCTTAATGTGAAGGCAGCAGTTGACTGCAGCTTATTTCTTTCTGCAGGTGGCTCAGCTCTTCTTGTGTCTCACAAAGATAAATCTGAGGTGGAAAAATCACTTAGTACAGAGCTCCACAATATCAGTAAATGGCTAATTGACAACATATTGTCCCTCCACCTTGGCAAAACCGAATCAATCCTCTTCGGGTCTACTGCCAAACTGAAGAAGTCTTCTGGGTTTAAAATGGTAGTGGGCGAGACAGATGTAACAGCCAAGGAAACTGTCACCTACTTAGGCTGTACTTTAGACAACAGGCTATCAGGGGAGAGTATGACCCTTAAAGCTATAGAAAAGATAAGCTCTAAAACTAAATTTCTTGCTAGAATTGCACACCTTAGGTACACCATCCCAGAACCCACCTCCTTCCTGCTCACTTCATCAGTCTGAAGTGGCTCAGAGTAAAGGAGAGAGTAACCCAGTTCAAGTTGTGCCTAGTTCACAGGATCATTAATAAATCAGTTCCAAAATATTTGTGGGACTATTTTGTAAGGGTTGGGGACACTCATTCCACTAGGGGCAGCTCTACTGATTTCGTGCCTTGGCGTTTTAGGACCTCTATGGGGAAAAATACCTTCCTATACTCAGCAGCAGTCTTGTGGAATGGGTTACCTACAAATATTAAATTAGCCAGTTCCTTAGCAAGTTTTAAAACCAAACTAAAAAGCTGGATGATGAATAATCTATCCTAACTACAAATCAGCCATGATAGAGTTTAGCTAAATCATGTATTTTTGATATGCTATTCCTTAATATGTCTTCTCTCTATGCTGTGATGTCTATGTATTGTCTGTCTTATGTATTGGCTGCTGTATTGTAATGTCTTTGTCATATATATAGGCTGTTGTACTGTCTTTGTTCCCTGTCCATATATGTTTTATGTCCAAAGGACCACAATGGAAACAAGCCTTTGGGCTTTATTGTGTTTTTATCCTTTTGGTTTTACCAATAAAAATTTCAATCAATCAATCAATTAAGATGCATCATACATAACAAATATAAAATATCACGTAAGATGATAAAGTATAACATATATAAAAACAAGCAGGACATGATAAAAACAAACAAAATTTTCTGAAAACAAATAAAAATACATTGAAAAACATAGCGAAAAGCTTATGAAAAAAGATGTGTTTTTAGTTTGCTTTTAAAAGACAACACTGTTTTAGCAGACCGTAGTTCATGTGGAAGATAATTCCACAGAGTAGGACCATAATGACTAAAAGCACCATGAGCTGATTGAGAGTTGATTTTATGTTCAATAAGTAGACCTTTATTGGATGATCTAAGGGATCTCTCTGGTGTGTACTCTGTGAGCATGTCAGCTACATAGGGAGGAGCTAAACTGTTAAAACATTTAAAAACAATAGGATTTTTCAATCAGTTCTTTGTTTAATTGGGAGCCAGTGAAGAGAAGATAAAACAGGAGTTATGTGCTCAGACCTTTTAGTTTTTGTTCAAACTCTGGCTGCTGTAATCTGGATAAACTGGAGTTTATTTAATCTGCTTTGTCAGTTCGGCCAGTGTAGTTTAAGATTTCTATCAACAGGGCTTTCAAGAGGGCTTGGTTGTGTGAAGTCTATGTGGTTTATGCTTTAAAATCAAGTTAGAGAAAGTAGTTAATATCTTGAGCAGTGATGGACATTTACATAATGAGATGATACAGTGCAGGCAAAGTAAGAGACCCTCTGGCTTAAATACTCCTACTCCTTAGATACTCCTCTATACTTGAAGCCAATAGTTAAACATAGTTTAAAAAATAAAAGTCAGTGTATGGATTTTAGATACATAAACACCTAATTATTTTACACATGGTTTGAAAGGTATTTGCACTATTTTCTTGGCTTTTTTAAAACATGATTTTCTTTTTAGCATGTTCTGATTTTAGCAGTAATAGCCTATAGGTATGCAGGCCCAGGGTGGATGCAGCAATGAGTCTGACTGAAAGTGAAAAACTAATATTTCATAAGGTATGACACTAAGTGAGTCCAAAAGATGACCCTGTAAGCTTTTTAAGCCTGAGTACAGCAAACGATCTCTGATGCCCTTAGACAGACCAAATCTCTTTCGATCTCGCCTCCTATTCAGCTCCGGTTAACAGCTAATCAATCAAAGGTCAAAGCAAATGAAGCGTAAAATGTTTGCTTGTTCGGCACAATTTGGCATAACATCTCACACTGAGAAATTACAAAGCTCTGCGGTAACATGCCGAGACTTCTTTCAAATCCTTTTGAACTTCGTCTGACAAACCACAACAACAAGCCCAGACTGAAAACCTGATAGGCCTGACACCATCCCAGAAACTAATGACGCACAGGGAATTAATTTGATTATCAGCTGCAGTGCCTTCATTTGCAGCTCACATTTAATATTTCAGGCGTTGATGCTTCTCAGAAAAAGTGAGCCATAAAACCAGAAACGTATAATAATGCTTACTGAGCAATTTATTTTCGGTAATATAATGATTTGGATGGTTAGTTTTGTTGTGCTTTCACAATATGAGACTGCTCTGAGCCTTCTACTTCCTGAAAACACAAGCCCCTCCTACGCCTGGTTATAAATACAGAGCAAACTTTCATTTCAGATTAGAAGCTGCTCAGGAGTACGCACTTTTTCCTGATATTGTAAAGGTCTCTTCACAGCCATGAAGGTACTTCTAGTTGCTGCAGTGGTTGCCCTGATTCATGGCAGTTATGGTAAATATGTTTTCATCTGTTTCTCTGTCTCTAATGAACTGTTATACTATTTCCTCAAATGATTTAATTGTATTGCTGCTCTGTAATGAGTTATTAGTTCAATCTTTAGGTCTGATTCTGGTCTTTTTGTCACAGATATAGTATATTCATACAGCTGCTGTTGGGTTTTGTGTGTTTTGTGTGTGTGTGTGTGGCTGTTTGTCTGCTCGCCTGTCTGTTTCTGAGTGCGTATGTCCTCCAGAGAAAAAAGCTTTACTTTCTCTTCTGTCACACTGATGGGTTTCCCCTGGAGGTTACAAGACCCAGACTCAAACAGGAAATGTTGCTGGAACTATCAAGGGACTGACGAGAAGAACAATTAAATATTTTTTATTTATACATACTTTATATATAAAGAGACCTGTTTACATAATACTCACAGCGTAACGGTGAAGAAAAAAATAATGTAAACTGTTTTGGTTGTGCATTTTTCCTTGCCTGAGTTGACAGACAAACAGCCTTATTGTCACCACTGTCAGTAAAGTGGAAGAACCTGTTGCTGGTCATGTGGTCATGGTGACTTTGAGCGTGTTGGCAGTTTTCCCACAGGAGCCTGAAAACAAATGTCAGGAAAAGGGAGCGGTTGTTTTCAAAGTGTTGCCCAGCAGAACAGCAGCTTAGATCCCCAGTGCTGAACGCCCCCCTCCCACCCTGCCTATTCATGTTGTGATCAATAACATGCATGTGTAATTTCTGTCCACACGCAGCCACTTTGCTCATTAAAGGGCCCACCGAGCCGGTTCTGGAGGGAGACAGTGTCACACTGGAGTGTCTGTACGAAGACTCTGAGCTCAACGTCAGCCAGGTCCATGTTGAGATCTTCTCCAAGGTGAGCCATGGGGATAACTGGGTCATTGGGTGTAAGAGGAAATAAAGAAAAGAAGAGGTACATTTCAAAAGTTCAAAAGCCTCACTACCGTTACTTGGGCTTGCTTTCAAATGTTTTATCGTAATTGAGTTATAGTAAAACTCTCAGTGAGTGAATAACTCTGAGAGTAGAAGAAAATGGTTTTATTAAGTTGATTTTTACAGGGAGGTTGATACTGTACATGGGAAAAGAATGTTTACTGAGCATTGTCACATCATAACATTTATAGCCTGAACTTATTTGCAATGGCTGAGCAATAAACTGCCCTATGTAAATATCACACCCAGCAGCTGCCTGCTATGTAGTTCAACACAACAGAGCATTGTTCACACATGAAATATTCAGACTACTCTTGAATCTGATATTTAGCTCCAAAGTTCTCAAAATATGCATTTAACCCTTACATACTGTTTATATTTTATACCTTCACAATATGGTATGGTCATTTCTAAATTGGCCCCAAGAATCCCCTCATAACAAGTGCTGATACAAAACTTTGAAGATCTATTTATAATATATAGAAAGCCTTTCTGACATCAATACATGAGTGATTAACCTTTAACTAATGTTTCAGGGAGAATTAAGGTGGCAAATGTCCCAGTGGGGAGGGCGGGAGAGGTGGTGGGCATGTCGAATAAGATCCTAAAGCCAAACCCTGGTCTTTTTCCCTAAACCTAACTAAGTGCTTTTGTTGCCTTAGCCCAACCATGTGTTTGTTGTTGACGGAAAAATTTGTGGTGCTGTACCGACACAGTGCATTTATTTTGAAAGAGGCTGTATGTAAACGTTAAATTTCCTGTGAAAACAGAAGTGTACATTGGAAGAAGACAATGGATGTAACAGGCAGAACTTGACATGGTGTCCAAGGATGTCAACAACCAACGCACACAACGTGCAGGGTACCTTGCACCTTTCT